GTCGGCGTCGGCGTCGGCATGGGCGTCGTCGTCGTTTTCGTCGGCGTCGGCGTCGTCGTCGTGGTTTTCGTCGCAGTCGTCGTCGTCGTTGTTAGCGTCGGCGTCGGCGTCGTCGTCGGCGTTGGCGTCGTCGTCGTTTTCGTCGGCGTCAGCGTCGTCCTCGTGGTCGGCGTCGTTGTAGTCGTCGTCGTCGTTTGCGTCGGCGTCGTCGTCGGCGTCGGCATCGTCGTCGCTTTCGCCGGCGTCGGCGGCGTCGTCGTTGTCGTTGTCGTCGGCGTCGGCGTCGGCGTCGGCGTCGGCATGGGCGTCGGCGTAGGCGTCGGCGTCGGCGTCGGCGTCGTCGTCGTCACCGTCGTCGTCGTGGGCGTCGTCGTCGGCGTCATCGTCGTCGTTGCTGGCGTCGGCGTCGGCATCGTGATCGGCGTCGGCGTCTGCGTCGTGGTTTTCGTCGGCGTCGTCGTCGTCGTCGTCGGCGTCGGCGTCGTCGTCGTCGTCGAGCGGGCCGCCGCCGAGCGCGCGGCCCGCAGCTCGTGGCCGCCGAGGGCGGGCCGCACGCGGGCGCAGAGCGCTGCAGCCCGGTCGGCCAGGGGCGCGGCGGCGCCCGCGCCGCGCCGGCGGAGCTCCTCGCGGCGGCGCTGCGCGGGCCGGGAGGCCCAGATCGAGAGGGAGGAGGAGGAGGAGGAGGAGGAGGAGGAGGAGGAGGAGGAGGAGGAGGAGAAGGAGGAGGAGGAGGAGGAGGAGGAGGAGGCATCATGGTTCAGCCCCAGAGGAGGAGGAGGGGGAGGAGCGGAGCAGGAGGAGGAGGAGGAGGAGGAGAAGGAGGGTGAGGGGGGGAGGAGGAGAGGGAGAAAGGAGGAGGAGGCGGAGGAGGAGGATCTCTGGTGAAACTCCGGTAGGGAAGACACCTCACGCAGTCAACGAGCCCCTCCACCTCAGACGGCCACTCAAGCGCCAGCCAGGGAGGCCCACAGGGGAGGGGTTATGATCACTGATTCGGAGCACGCCAACTGTACACCTGCACGGATCCTGGGCCCAGGGTCGGCCTGGCAAAAATCTGTGTAGGTGAGCAGTTGGCGTCCTCTGGCTGCCGAGGAACACATCTTCCGAACGCTCGACATATTTTTTCCATTACGGTGGGTGAACGATACGGCGGAGTCAGCCTTCTTGAGGGCCGCTTGGGGACTCGTGGGAGATGGAAGCAGGGGTGTTGGAGGAGGCAGACAAGCAAGGTAAACAAGGGATGCCGCGTGATGTGCGATGCTCATGCCTGACTCTGAATGGCACCCGACTCAAAAAAACTGGCAACACAAAAACGAGAACAGCAAGATACGCAGAGCTGAGCATCGTTTAATCGATCCCTATTCCCACTGGCGTCGCCTGGGCCCCACTGGCCGACTTACCTCCCTGGATGGGGATAAATGGCGTATGTTTTCGGTTTCGAGGGGCACATCCCCAACGGGGGTGCTGGGATGATGGGGATGGGGATGGGGATGGGGGTGGGGATGGAGATAACTCGGGATCGAATAAACGATACTGCGGAGTTGTGCAGTTGGCTCCGACGTGGCCCAGGCGTCCAAGCTGGCAGTGAGAAGCGGCAGGTCTCCCTCTGCGAGCGCCAAGCGCAGCATGTCCAGGCTGTCGCCTGCTTTCTTGGAGGATGAGGAGGAGGGAGAGGACGAGGAGGAGGAGATAGGCGCAGGAGGAGGAAGAGACAGGAGGAACCCGTCCCCCAGTCAAAGAACGCGGCAAGCAACAAGGCCAGCGCTCAAGCCGGATGCAAGCAAATATAGCAGACGGCAAATGGAAGACGCAGGCACAAAAGCTGGTAAAGGCGTGAAGACAAGTCACAAGATGTTCGCGCGCAAACACTCGAGCCACTGCGAATCGGTCATGCTTACAGCATGCAACCAAACATAAAAGGTACGCATGCTGTGGTCACCGTGCGTGTCGAGAACACGCCGATGACGAATTGACTACACGTGTCGCGAAAATATCTACGACACGCACCATAGTATGGCAATCCAAATTTTTCATGAGATCATCAAAAATGGCCTTCCGAAACAAACAACCTCTGGTAATGTTTAAAAGCGGTTCTAAAAATCAACCTGAGGGGTCAGTTCAAAAAATAGTTACTTCCAACGCTGTAGCGCGCATTGGGAAAGCAAAAGGAAGGCGGGGCAAACCGGACCGCCGGGGACGTCCCCGCGACCGCCCTGGCGCTCCGCGTCCAACATAAAGCCGTTCAACCTCACTAAAACAGCGGGCGACACGCGTGTCACCCCCAAAATGACAAAAAACAATCATAAATTTGGGATGCTGGGCACCAACATAAGAACATTCAACTTCACAAAAAATAACGGGTGACACGTCCGAAACCGTGTGAGAAAAACCAATTGCAAATTTGGGATGATGGGAGCCAACATAAGGCCAGTCAACTTCACAAAAACAACGAGTGACACGTGTCACCCCCGCAACCGCGTGAGAAAAAACGAATTGTACATCTGGGATTCTGGGAGCCAACATCAGGCCATGCAGCCTCACAGAAACAACCGGTGGCACGTGCCTCCCCCGACACCTGAGAAACACCGATTGTACATGTCGGAGCCTGGGAGCCAACATAAGGCCATTTAACTTCACACAAAAAACAACGGGCGACACGTGTCACCCCCGAAACCGTGAGAGGAAAACCAATGGTAAATTTGAGATTCTGGAGCGAACACGAGGCCATCCATTCAGCTTCACAAGAACAACGGGTGAACCGTGTCACCCCCGAAACTGTCTGAGAGAAACGAACTGTGGATGTGGGGTCCTGGGAGCCAACAAAAAGCCAATCAGCCTCACACCGCGCGCGAGAACTGGACGCCACCGCACGCATACAGTTCATGCGCATATGCCAATGCATGCGTGCGTGCGTGTGTACACACATATATGTATACAAACATACATGTGTGCATTTATCAATCGCATCGTTCGGTCCCTGTGGAATCTTTTCCAGGGAAGACAATTACAAACAAACATACTCGACAGCGAATTAATGGCAGTCGGAATCCTGGGGGGGGGAGGAGGGGGGTCATCATTTTTGTAACAGGTATTTGACATGATCGTACATACAGCACAAAGCTTACGCGTAAAAAAAGACGTCCCGCCAATACTTTTCGTGGCGAAGGAGATTCGCTTGCGGGGGACATTCACTGAACGGTCCCCCCCCCCAGCATGCGGCCGACTAGGAGGCTGTAATGGAGGGTTGCTTCCCACTTGGCTCTCACTAAACCAGAACGTGTTTCACAATTGGTACGTACCTGCCTTTCGACGCAATTTTCATACACAGCTGAAACACATGTGGTTCCTGTGAGCTCCGTTTGAAACACATGTGGCTTGCATGTGACCCACTCTTGGTCATCACATGTCACACATTGGGTGTTCTTCGGGTCACCTGCGTCGCATGCTTGCATCGCGCACGCGTTGTGTTTCGAGTTGCGAACGATCAGGAGTCGGTTCGAGATAATCGCTGGTGGATTTGCGCGATGGCTAATAATACTATAAGGTTCACTCTCTGAATCAGACAACTCGACCGCGACGGACGTTGGATTAAAAAATGGGACGCGGTCGATACATCGAGTAGTCTCGCTCGTTACCTTCCATGTCAGATGTCAGCCAACCACTGCTTGCCGGGGGCGAGAAGACATGCGAGGCGTTTGGCTGTCCCCCTCCTTCGGCCCCCCCTCTCCAGCGGCCCCAAATCCCGTCGGGAGGAGGGCACAAGTTTCTCAACGCACCCAACATGCCATTCAAGACGGTTCAAGAATGGCCCCAAACGCTTAAGAGGCCCCCCAGGAAAAAACGCCCTAGGCGACCCGAAGGCAACCCAAAGAGGTTCAGAAAGGAAGACCAAGCGCCCAAAAAACATCAAACGTAGAGTCAATGTTGATCGGGGGCGTTCAAGAGGGGGGGCGCATATCATGGCCAGCGGCATGTGCGCGGCCCAGGGGGGGGGCCGGGCACGCATTGAAATACGAAGAGGCGGCATGAAATCTGGAGAGAAATCGTGGCCCCCGCAACGATACCCGCACACACACACACACACACACCTACACACACACCTAGTCATCACCCCCGTGATTGCCGCCCACGAGTCGAGTGATACCTGGCCTTTTCGCTTCCGTACGCCTCCTGTATGGCCTGGGAAGCTTCCAGGAAGCCCCCAGGCTGCGGCCTTTTCGCTTCCTGGGGGCTGCCCCCCAAGCTGGCCCCCGGAACGGCCCCCGGGCTGCCCCCAAGTTGGCCTCCGCCACGGCTCCCAGGTGGACCCAGGGCGGCCCCGAGGCCCCCCACGAGGCCCCAAGACCCTCAAAAGCGAGCCACGGACCCTTCAGAAGGTGCGCCAAGATGGCCCCTAGAAGTCCTGCTTGGGGTCCCAAAACCGTGTGGTGACAGACCGTGCGGTGACCTCGGAACCCCAAGAGACCTCACCGCACGGTCCGTCACCGCACGGTCTTGGGACCCCGGAAGCCCCAGTCGCCCGAGACATCCTCGGAGAACGGCCCGAGTTCCAAAACCGCGCGGTGAGCCCGAATCCCCACCGACTCGCCACGCGGTGTGGTCACCATCCCGTTTGGGGCTGGCGGCCCCCGACGCCTGCGCGAGCCCCACGAGAGCTCCGGGATGGCCACAACAGCAAGAGCTGCACGGCCCCACACGAGAGCCCCCAGGCCGGGCCCAGAGATTCGGTCGCGCGCGCGTACGTCCAGGCCGCACACCCCCGCAACGCCCACCCTGGCAGCTCTGCGTGGCGGTTCCCCCCTGGCGGCCCGCCGTGGTTCCCGTTTTGCGGAGCACGTCACTCCTGCTGCGGCGGTCGGTTCCTCGTTTCCGGTATCTGGTGTCCGGCCAACCCGGCTCCCAGTTCCCCTTCAGATGGTGGGTGGAGACTGGCGCGGGCAGCGGAGCTGAGCGGCAGCAACACTACAGAGCAGCAGCAGCACGCAGCCGGCAGCAAGAACAGATATGAAGAGAAAGGGGCGGGGGCGGAAGTGGAGGAGAAGGCGTGCGGACGGCGTTGCGGAGAGAAGCAAGGAGCCCACTCCTCAGGTGGGGGTGGTAAATACAAAAAAGGGAAAGGAGGATTGGATGCGCGGATTACAACCGTGAGCGGAGAACAGACACAACCCCCCTAGTGCAAACATTGACTGGATGAGAACAACATTAGTCCAGTGGTTGTTTGACAATTGTTTGGCAATCAGTCCAGATATGATCACCCTGTTATGCTGCAACTGGCACGTCTTGAGCTCACATTTGAAGAGCAATATCTTCACAGCACAATCACCAATAATCCACACACGTTCCACCACGCCATCAATTAACCATCGATGCCGTCGCCCGGGTACACGATCGAAACGCTGGAACGCCATCACCAGACTATTAGCAAGGTATCGGGGAACCACCAGGACACCATCAACAATCCATTCACGCACATTCGGGACAACAGAAGGGTAACCTCGGGGGTACCATCGACAAGCCATCGGGACACCATCAGCAAGCCATCGGGGCAACATCCACAAACCATCGAGACACCGTCGGCATATTCATCGGGAAATCATCAGCACATCACCAGAGCGCCAACAAACCATCGGGACATCGGGCAGCATCGGAACATCGCCAACAAACCATCGGGACACCACTCGGACACCATCGGGGCACCATCGACAAACCATCCAGACGAACCGCTGGGGCACTGCCGGGACACCATCAGCAGACCGTCGGGGCACCTTCGGGGTACGAGCGGGGAAATCCGGCGGGTCCCCGACCAAGGCGGCACAATCAGCGGGAGCCCGCTTCGGCCAAGCGGGCCTGGAGGAGGCCCGGGGGTCTGAACTGGATGGGCCTGGAGAAACTCGGCCAAGAGGGGGGAAGAGGCGCCAGAGCCACTCACAATCAGCCCCCGGACCCCTCCCAGGGCCCACATCAGGCAAAGTGTTTCGCCCCGGATCCGTCCGCCACCGGCCCAATTGGGCCCGGCAGCGGCCCCCGGAGACTGCAGAGGCAAGAAACCGCCTCGAGAACAGAACCCCTGGGCCTCGCCCCCCCCCCCCACACACACACACACTTCCTGCTCGCCTTATGGATGCCATGACAATGGACACTCTAACAATCCTATCATTGAATGAAAGGTATGTTTTAATGTTTGAAGAATGTTCTAAACATGGTAAAAACATGTGTCTTACATGTTCAAAACAAGGTTAAAACATGTTTCAGGCATCTGGAAAGTATTGGGCACCATGCTTCCTCTCCATTGATCGTCGTCCACAACGCTCGCCGCAACCAGAGCTTGGCCACCTCAGACCACCGGCCAACTCCAGCAGCGGGCCCTACTAATGAGGAGCACGGCACTCTCGCGCAACCGTGACGCGCACGGGGACCGCCCTGCACAGCGCTGCTTTCCCGACGCGGAGGCGGCCACACAGGCGCTTCCACGTCCCCGACAGCCGACCGCACCTGCTGGAAAAAGGCACCAGACAGATACGCTCAACGTCTGGCCGTCGTCTGGGATGAGGCAGGGAGTGCACCCGTCCTGCGACTGACTGCCCAAATATTCAGCCGCCTGCTAGCCCGCCGAAGAATTGCACGAGTTGGCTTTAAGGCACCGGGTCCCAAGGGAAACGGGCTCTGGACACTGGGGCCTTATCCAGGACTAGCTTTTCATCCTGCGTTGTTGTCCAAAAAGGCTTGCCTGTAGGAGTGCGAGCTCCATGCGTAGAGAACTGGTACAGTGATGCTCCCATCTATTTCGCCCCAGGCCAAAACAAAGGTTCCCTCTGCCATTGCATCTGCTATTGTAGTAGCCTCCTCTGTTATTACAATGGCCTCCTCTGCTATGGCAATTGCTTCCTGTGGCTATTCTAATGGCGTCCCAGACATCGTCCAACAATCATTAAACTCACAAACAGAGTAGAGAAGAGCAAGGTAGAGTAGGGTAGAGAGAAGAGTAATTGCGTAGTGCATTACATCATAGAGAAAGAGAATAACATATTATAGTAGAGTAGACTAGAGCGGGGTAATGTAGAGTGTAAGAGAGTAGAATAGAGTAGCGTAGAGTAGAGTAGAGTAGAGTTGTGCAGAGTAGAGCAGAGAAGAGTAGAGTAGAGTAGGGCATGGCAGAGTAGAGCAGGGTAGAGTATGATAGATGGTAGAGCAGAGTTAAAGTAGAGTAGAGTGGAGCAGAGACCACCCCAGTCCAGTCCAGTCTTCTCCAGTCCTGCATACTTCAGTACGCTCTAGTCCAAGTCATTTCTGTCTTCTGATCTATGTGGAGTCTGCGCTGGAGCCTGGGAGCCCGAAAACGTGGAAAGAGATCAGGACTTCTTTCAAGCAGGATCCCTTTCTTGCAGGGCGAATGAGATTACACGTGCGCCCCCCGCAGCGGACCTCCCCGGCCGCCTTCGAGCTGCTCATCCTGCAGGTGCGCAGCACGAGGCGCGACCGGAGCCGATGAGCAGGAGTCCGCTTGCCCCACGCTTGCCAGGAGTGACAAGGCGTGAGGCACCCAGCTGGTTCCAGGATCGGCTACACGCAAGAGTGCCCCTGGGCAAGAGTGACATTTGGTGCGCGGCTTTTTGGGGGGCCGCGGGGGGCCCCAGCACAGGCGCGCAAGACGCTACTACCGCATCGCGCTCGGCGATCGGGGGTCCCCACTGGGCCCGCACCACAGGTCACCCCGGCGAGAGGCCGCGCGTACGTGCGGCCAATGGCAAGGCGTGCGAGGCAAGCTGACTCGGGGAACTCGGACAGGGCTAAGGACGAGAACAAATCCGTTCCAGAGCGTTCCAAGACGCTCTCAGAGCGTTCTGGAACGCGCTGAGAAGGCTGCGGCGCCCGAGACATTCTCCAGAGCCTCCGGACCTCGGAGATTCAATCAAGCCGCATCATAAGGATGCGCGGTAAGGATGCAAGGGCCTTGGAAGGGCCAAGCTGACGTTTTTCGAACGAGGTTGGCCAGTGAAAGTCGCTAAGGATAAGCCGAAGGGACAAGGATGCAAGGGTACCTTTGGAAAGGAAAGGTGGTCCATCTATGCTATGCGGGCTGACGATTCTCAATTTATCCTCACCCAAATTTATCCCCGCCCTGGCTTCGTCTTAGTAGGAAAAAACAGAAACATAAACTGTTGCCGCTCCGCGCGGATTTCTTGGATCTGCGCTGGACCCCCTCCCTGGCGTCCGCTGGCGCGCGGAGCGCGCCATGGGCGGCGCCGGGGACGCCGCCGGGGGGGCCCTAGCGCGGATCCAAGAAATCCTCGCGGAGCGCCAGAATTTTAGGTTTATGGCGTTTTCTTCTTCGACTAAGGCACGGCGGAACTACGAATATCGGCAACATAAGGGTTGATATTGGCAACATAAGGGTTGATAGTTTTTGCGCGCGCGTGCGAGCGCTTGTGTGTTGCATGTGCCTGGCGTGTACTTATGTGCTTGCGTGTTTACGCGGCGCTAAGGAGCCCTCGATCCAGCAATGTCGGCGGCGTCTCGCCTTTGCTTTCGCCGGCTGCCGCCGGCCTGCCGCCGACGGGCAATGGGGGGGGAAGAGGCCGGGGCCCTCGCCGTATAGCGCAGCATCTCCAAGAGTCCAGGGCCGTGTTGCTGCCATCGTACGTAAGGACCAAATCCCAGAGAGAAGTTTCGAACACCCAGACAAGTATCAAAAAAAAGTCGAACGAGTATCGCCTCCCAGGGCCAGATACTTGAAAGCCCCGGTATTTTACTCGTTCTCGAAACTCTCTGTTGCAATCAAAGCTTTAGTAGCTTCAGACATCATAAGTCCAAGATACAATCGAGAACGATGTTGTCGACTTCATGACCTCGCAGTACATAAGGAGCTCGACCGCAGGAAACCTTCCACAAGAAGCTCAGCCCTGAAACCCCCGGACGTGCACTGACTCTTGGTGTGGGAGCGTCACGTTTGCCATAGCAGAACCACCGAAACCCAAGAAACCCAGGGCGCCCTGGAGGCTTCTTGGTATGGGTTGCCACTGCGGCGCTCCGGCAAGATTCGTTCTTCAGAAGGGTGTGTTACACTGCACATCTTTCAACGCCGCCTCCACTCATACAGCGCGTGCGGCCTCCGCGAGCGATCGGACCTTGCCTTGCCTTGGGGAAGATACGAGGGGACGATATCCTCCTCCTCCTCCTCCTCCTCCTCCTCCTCCTCCTCCTGCTCCTCCTCCTCTTCCTCCTCCTCCTCCTCCTCCTCCTCCTCCTCCTCCTCCTCCTCCCCCTTCTCTGGCCTCAACATGGCCCACCACGGCCCCGAGGTCGCCCAACCTCCAAGGCGACCCTCGACGGCCGCAATCGGCCCCAGGCTGCCCCCAGGATGATGTCCCATGGGCCCCCAAGAAGGGCACCACGATGTATTCGTATTTCTTGCCTGGACCCTCCGAGGGAGGCCCCCAGATACAAGCAATCTACAGGCAGGGCAGCTTGCCTGGGCTTGGCGTTCTCGCCCTCGCTGCTTCCGCGGCTGTTGGGAACCGCCTGGCGGCCTGGAGGGCAGATGATGGCTGCGAGCGGAGTGGAAGAAGCCAATTCGGGGGGGCGAAAGAGGGGGGCCAGGAGGAGGAGGAGGAGGAGGAGGAGGAGAAGGAGGAGGAGGAGGAGGAGAGGAGAAGGAGGAGGAGGAGAAGAGAGAGGAGGAGGAGGAGGAGGAGGAGGAGGAGGAGGAGGAGGAGGAGGAGGAGGAGGAGGAGGGGGAGGAGGGAAGGAGGAGGAGGAGGAGGAGGAGGAGGAGGAGGAGGGGGAGGAGGAGGAGGAGGAGGAGGAGGAGGAGGAGGAGGAGGAGGAGGAGAAGAGGAAGAGGAGGAGGAGGAGGAGGAGGAGGAGGAGGAGGAGGAGGAGGTGGAGGGGGAGGAGGAGGAGGAGGAGGAGGAGGAGGAGGAGGAGGAGGAGGAGGAGGAAGAAGAGAAGGAGGTCTTGCTGCAAGAACGATGCCTGGCGGTCCCCGCCCCAGCTCGCCATATGTGAGACGGATGGGCGGGCACTCCACCTCGGGGTGCCATCCCGCCCCTCCCAGATCAGTCCATCAGGCGCTCCCAAAACGCCGCGCACTCCACCTGTACCAGGGAGCGCGGCTCTGCTTCCAGGGAGACCTTTACTGCATAAGGATTTTTGCCTCGGCGCAGGAGCGAGAGACGGTACTCTGCAGTGGGGTTCGCGGGGGGCCCCACGCAGGCAGCCAAGAGCTTGCACCCTCTCTCGCTCGAGAACACACCGCACCGATCGCAGAAAGTATACTGGCCCGCGCGGTGCAATTCGTGCCCCAAGGCCGCACCGCGGAGGGCTGGAGAGATGACACCTTCCCCAACCCCCCGCCCCAACTCAACGCCCCACCGACGATCCACCCTCATCTTGCCCTGGCAGGGCCTGCGCGCCAACGCGCGCCTGGTCTTGCAAGAGAAAGCCTTTCGCCCGCACGTCGAGCAACGCCACGCCCCCCTCCTCCAGAGTAGGACATGGGCGCGGGCCCCTTCGGGCGGCCCTTGCCGCCGTCGGCGGGCTCCGCTGGAGCCCGCGGCAGGCCTCCCCGTGGAATCCCCGAAATCCGCCGTGCGCCCCGTCACCCCCGCCACCAGAGTCAACACCGCCTGGACCTCCGCAGAGCGGTTGGCCCAGGTCTGGGCCTTCCACGGGGGGACCTCCTGCGTGTCAGCCCCAATGCGGGCCTCACAGTCTGCCAATTGATTCCCTTGAAAATCAAGAAAGCTCTCGTGCGAGTCATCCTTTGGCCCGCTAGCATGGGCGTTCACCTTGACGGCCTGGAAATCGCCTTCCTGACTGAAGCTGCCCTGGATCTGGGCCCAGATTCTACCCCAGAGGTCGGCGTGTGGTCTCCTAGGGCTGCAGCACCAGCTGGGGCCTCTACGGAGGCCTCGAATGACTGAACTGTTGTCTACCCCTACCCTCAGAGGCGGGTGGGCGCTATTCAGCAACTTGAGCAGTCCATACAGCTCAGCACGCAGGACGGAGGCTAGGCTACGCAGCCCTGGGAGGGTCCCCCGCATGGCCTTAACAGCCCCTCCGCCCTGGTCCAGGAAAACGTAGCCCCAACCGAAACTCTTTAGCCCTGGTGGGCCTCTGGCCGATCCGTCGGAGTAGGCCCACCCTGAGACCAGCGGGGGATTTGCAAAATCGGGGTTCTCCTCCTCCAGGGCCGAAATCCAATCCGACTGCGGGTCCTCCAGGGGGTGCTCGTGAAGCCCGCGGGAGAAAAGGTGGGAGTCCGAGGTGGAGGATTCCGCACGATGCACAATCCCTTGGAGGCCCTCATCCTCGGCTACTGCGGCTCTCGCTGCTCCTCTATCTGGGCAGCAAAGAAAACGATGGTGCTGGCATCCGACTTCAGCGCCGCAGGCTTGACAGGACCTGTCGCCCCCGAAACCCGCACGCCAGACCTTGTCCTGGGTCCAGAAGTCGCGGCCCATGCAGGCCAGGATAGCCGATCGCCTCTGCGGCGATCGGTTAGCCTTCCGTCGAAGGAGAGCCCTAATAGGCTCGAGGAAGGGGCGGGTGATCCCGAGGTCCCTGGAAGCCGCCCAGGAGGTCATCACCGCACATTCTAAGCGGGACCAAATCAGCTTCTTGAGACACTGCGGTGCTGTCCTGCGCAACTCCCACTGCTGCCCGAGATGGTCGGAGAAAACATGAAAGGCAGGCCACGTCCACGAGAGGAGTCTGAGTGTGGCCCAGACGGCTGAAGCGGGTCCTTTTATCTGCCTCCAGGGGTTACTCCCAGGCTTGGCGGCAGCGGCCGCCGCGACAGCTCTGCGCCACCCAGCAGCCATGAGATCCTCATGGCTGCCAGCAAAGATAGCCTCCGCCCATTTGAGCAGCGGCTTCGTGCAGGCATCGACCAGGGGGTCGCAGCGCAGCGTCCACAGGCGGAGCAGTCGGTCCTTACCGATTGCGTTGCCGCCCAGCGCCGAGGTCATGAGCGCCCTTGCTCGGGTGAGCCGCGTCGGGTCCATCCCTAGGCAGACCGCCCCATACAGCACAGAAGGGAGAAATCCCATGCGCGCAACTTGAAATGTGCGCGCGCCCTGCTTGCCGAGGCTTGACAACTTACTTCTACGCCGCCTAGCGCTCCCCATCCTGGCATCGCCTCTGGCGCGCAGCGCCACAACTCCTCCTCCCGCCGAGTCGACTCCGAGCTGCGTGCTACTGGTCTGGACCTCCAGTCCAAGGCTGCGGGCCCAACCTTTGATGCGGGCTCTCAAGGAGCGCTGCGCTGTCAGGATGAACCCTTTGCCCGTTGGCTTGCCTGGTCGGACCCTGGAGACTGGGATCCCACGGGCCTCCATCTCTTCTATGTACTGGGTTGTGGCCGCATGCATCGAGGCCGAGACGTCTGCCTCCGCACCTATGGCCTGAATGCTTAAATCATCGACAAAAAGCGTCATCGGCATGGCGGGGTACTCCTGCGCCAACCCGTCTACGACTGACAAGATGGCTAGCTTGAGGCA